GAGTCAGGACCTCAGTTTTACGTCTCATCCGAAGGACGACATTTTTTTACAGTATAGTGTCCCCGTCACTATACTGGGGCATTAGGACCCACACAGATCGCAGGTTACGTGGCCCCTCTAATACCTCTTCCACCAACAACCTTAGCTTTTCCCAGGAGGTCTCCCATCCGGGTACGGGCCCTGACCTGCTTAGCTTTAGTGGGTTGTCGGTTGTGAGTTGCAAAATTTGCAAGAGTGGTACTCTTAAGAGAGGTGGTAACCCCAGTAACCCCTTTTGGATACAAAATGCAACAGAAGTGTAGTTAAATATTAATTATTCTTTTCAAAGACATCACATGATGATCAAAATGAATGTTGTATGTGTGAATGAAAAACAGAAAGAAATAAAATGCAAGCCTAAATAATATCTTAGAATAATATTTGGACAGTATTGCATTTTTATACCCCACAATGGGAATTGAAATCATTTCTACAACTCCCATAATTTACCAATAATATACTGTATGTACCTTTATAATACCTTTACTTTTTAATTAATATAGTAGACTCTTAATTGTTATATTTAAAATAGCATACGCTATTCAAATGAAAAAATGTAGAAATGGACATATAATGAATAAACAAATAATTCATGAATTATTCAATAATTTAAACACTAAAAATAGACCAAGTAACTAGATATTTCAACCATTCTTAATTTCGGAGAAACATTCAGCTTGTTCACCATATAGCTACTTAGAATACACTTCATTTCCCATAAAGCTCTCACTTCCGGTTATTCACCTCAACCAAACTCGTTAGCTGCATCTACAGGAAGCCGCGCCTATTCCAGATCTATTGACATTTACTTTTTTTTCACTGCAATGTGATTGGATCAGAAACCTATCAATCAGATTTCCACGCTAAAGTTTCAATAGTAGCAGTAACACGTGAGGATAGAGATACTGGAGTGTGAATGTAGTTATTAGTGTTTTTAGATTGTTATGGATTTTTATTTTGGAAACAGACTTTTACTATTTCTAATATAACGAAGTGCTATATCAGCCCTTAATGTTGTTATGAGTGATTTCCAGTAATATTCGTCGTGTTATAGTCCATATCTCTAGCTAGTTGTAATTTAAGTTTTTGTTTTCATAAAATAGAGCTCTCTTAACAGGCAGTTATTTTTTATTCCGAAAAATGGATAATGCCGAAGGAGCTGTAGATTTACACGGGGACGAAGAAATCATTGAAGTGATTGACCTTAATGAATCGGAACAGACGCCAGGTAATGTTACTGAATACTACTCAGTGTGCCATGTTGAAATGACTGCATTATGTCAGTGATTTTCAAATTGTTTCTTAATTTCAGTAGATGAATATATACATTGTCAGTTTTCCTTTTACGCTTCTTTGGTTTTAACGTAGTTCATATATATTTTATTTTTCATGAGCGTATTGTATGTGCACAATTACATATATCTGATCTGGAGCATGCATAATGCAAATATGCCCATGTTTTCTCAAATGCTTTGCGTCATAGTTTAAACTAATAGATTCATATGTGTATGCTGGGAAGGGTTATGAGGTACCCAACGGGCTTCATTTTGTATTTTGCCCAGATGACTTGGCTAACGAGATTGAAGATGTCGATTTCGGTGAGGAAGGAGGAGATTTCGCAGATGATGAGGGCTGGCAAACTGAAGAAGAGGACATGGAAGCTCGACAGGATGACAGTGAACTCACCTTCTCCATGCACACAGGTAGGAACGATATATATGTGAGGAAACAGTCGATAGTTTTACGACGTACTGTGGTGTTCCTGTGCTATTAGTAGTAGATATGAGGAAATGTAGGTAAACGACTGTTGACACCTAGTAGTATATAGAAACATTGTTGAACTGACATTTATAAAAGCAAATTATAGCCTTACACGACTTACTCACTGTTTTATGGCTTTATGACCTCCTGCTTTTCACTTTATAAGTCCAGGTAAACTATGAATAAATAGAAGTCTTATTGTTACTGTAATTGTTATGCGTTGCTAATACTGATGTTAATATTCGTTTCCAGGATCTGTGTTCTGTGTGAGTTTAGACCCGGCCACTAACAGCTTGGCAGTCACTGGTGGAGAAGATGACAAAGCCTTTGTTTGGAGGCTGAATGATGGAGAAGTTGTCTTAGAGTGTGCAGGTGATTTTCCATATACTTATTTGTATAAATGTATTGTATTTATTAATTGACTACATTTATTATCAATCAGATTGATAATTAGAACTTAACTGGCTTAAAGTGGGGCATCCGGCATTGCCTTATACGGATACTGATTGCATTTCTTAAATGTTAGATGCCATTATTATGAATTTGAATTATTTTTGCGGTCACACTCAGAATTTATATGAGGACTATATAACAAAAAATCATTTAAGGAACCCATTAATAGTTCAGTGTACAACGACAGTTATTAACACCAAACTACATTTTCTGACAGGCCACAAGGACTCTGTAACCTGTGCTTCCTTCAGTCATGATTCCAAGCTCGTGGCTAGCGGAGACATGAGTGGCCTCATCAAGGTCTGGAAGGTGGAAACTAAGGAAGAGGTCTGGTCGTTTGAGGTGGGAGATCTGGAGGTGAGTACTTTAGCTCACTTAAACGACTCCTGGCTGTCCAAATGCCCCGGAATGTCATTTATAAAGGCCTTCATTAACCACTTCAGGTATTAATATACCGTTAAACCTCTAAATAAAGACTCCTTGTTCAGCTGCAGTTTTGCATGGAAAGTCCTGGTAATAGTGTGAATCTGCTTATACAGAAAAACTAAAATATGCTTTCAGATATTTCCTCCAAAATATGTTGTGAGGATAAAAAAATACTTCTTTTTAGTGTGGAGGTGTAAAACTTTAATATTGCCTGATTTTTTGTTTTCCCTGACAAACCCTAGTTTTCAATAATTTGGCTAAGTGTAGTCACATTAGCCAATAGAACTCCCTCTTGTTCGAGTGGCTGATTTGGCGGTGTGGTTGTTTGTCTCTTCAGTGGCTAGAATGGCATCCTTGTGCCCCTGTTTTGCTGGCTGGCACAGCAGACGGTAACGTGTGGATGTGGAAGATCCCAGGCGGGGAGTGTAAGACTTTCCAAGGGCCAGGCTGCCAGGCCACAAGTGGAAAATTCCTGCCCGATGGTAAGATATTCAGGGCAAAAGTCTCGCTATTAGTCTCAAGTGGGCCAAGTGTCGAACTGCACATCTTTATGTCTTTGTACCCTGAGGAAAAAGCAGTTTTAAAACAGGAAAGGAAGACAGTGGTGACGTTTTGTATCTTAAAGGGGGTTTACTATCCTTCAATGCAAAGGAAAACATATATTGGTTTTTGTTTTATTCAAAATAACCAATAATAATATGTAATACACCTAAAATATTTAAAAACAGTTATGTTCTTATTTTTGAATTCTGAGTAGTTTCAGCATAACTGACACTGAGACTTGGATGATTAAAAACTGCTAAACTACACTGGGATTAACTGGGATATTTACGCACTAGGTTAAACACAAGGTTTTAGACCAAACACACATTAGACCAAAAACAAACACAAAGTTTGTTTTTGGTCTAATGTGATCAAATATATGCATGGAATTAAAAATAGAACATTTATGGTAACAGTATGTTTTATTTATATTAATGTTACAAATAGAAACTATAAAACAAACATAATAGTTTTCACAATTCCAATTTGTTTTTATATTTTCCCAATTGTTTTTTATGGACATGAGGGCAGTTACCATAGATCTTAAGGATTTTATGTTAAGGATGGGAGCTGTAACTACTGATTAGAGAATTGCAAATCTCACTCCAATTAATAAAATCTGTGAAAATACTTAATGAGGAAACCAAATAAATTTCTGTTATTGGCAATGCTTTGTGAAAGATGGAGGTAGACTAGAATAATATTTACCAAATACAGCTATCCAATGCCAACAACGGGGGTTCTGTTCATGAAAACCTCTGTGGTAGGAAAAGCTGTGGTTTGTAAATATAAGGCCTGAGGAAAGAGTTCTCCTGCTACATCACTGCTGTAAATGCATAGTTGTATATGAACCCTACATTTAACAAATGTACTTTATACAGCAGTGGTTCTCAACTGGGTCACAACTGTGGCTAAAAGCAAGTCTCACGGGCCACATATATTAATCACTACTAGGCCTACCTTATCTGCATGCATGAAAGCTACTGTATTAACCATGTGTATGTATATATAGAAAGAGGTTGGAAACATTATGGTGTAGTACACAAGGTTTCTTGAGAAACAGGAGGTTTCGGATGGAAGTCCTTCATCAGCTATGCAACTTCAGAAGCACTTTGCTTGCACAGCTGATGAAGGACGTCTGTCCAAAACCTCCTGTTTCTCAAGAAATCATGTGTACTACACCATAGCTTTTCCAACCTTTACGTTTACTACTGAAGTACACTCGCAGTTACTTTCAGTTTCAGGTGGCTTAAGACTGCATAACTGCATGCTCTGTCCTCAGATTAGCAGAGTGATTTTTGATCTCTGAAAATGCTCTTCACATTTATTCACAAGTATCTATGGATATATCTATGTTTTCAGTTTCTTTTCTGGAGAATATTTGCTTAATCATATATTTCATTAATAATCGTTATATTGTAAGTCAAAAGTGTTAGTGATGATTTCTTCTGTAACAACATAATGCATGATGCTAATGATTGATTTTTCTTTATTCTTATTTTCAATTTTATTTTTTTAAGTGCTAATATATTGCCATTTTCTTTCAACTTCATATTGACCAAAGGTGTTCAAGGGCAAGAGACTTTTAAAATTAAATAAACAAAAAATGTACATACCCTTGCATGTTTTGGGTAGACTGTTTAAAAGGAATGGAAGATTGTCACTACTGCTGGATGTGATGATCAAAAACCTGTTCAACTGTTGAAGATACTAGTTCAATAAAAGTCAAATGTGCAATGATACATTTGACTTGCAGATTTTATAGTGAACAGCCTTTGTGTGTGGTAGGTTCAAAGCTGATTGACCATGTCCATACTTGGCAGGTAAAAGGGCTGTAGTTGGCTACGAAGATGGAGTAGTGAGACTTTGGGACCTCAAACAGGGAAATTCCATTCATGTTATCAAAGGTGAGTCATTGTACCATTGCAGGCAAGTTTTAATTAAATGCAAATTATTTTAGAGCTGTTTCGAAACAATGATGGCTGATTAAGAGCAGGGAGATACAAGTGGCACTGTGAGGTTATAAAGTATACTGGTTGCTACTTCTGCACAACCTATAAACAAGTTCTTTCACATTTTAGGACAGGATGGACACCAGGGCCCACTAACCTGTATGGCCTGCAGTAAAGATGGAACCCTTGTGCTGACAGGCTCTGTGGATTGCCAGGCCAAACTTATTAATACTGCTACAGGCAAGGTAAGCTCTGGCATTTACAATGAAGTCAGAAATAAGAGGATGAAGTTATGAGATCAAAGAATAATAAATAATAATAAAAGAACCTTTAGATGGCCAGCAATAAATTACTTTCATTGTTGAATACCCCGCTTCGCTCTGAAGAATACATACACAAATCACAATTACCAAAAGCAACTTATTTTGATTCGCTTTAAACTGTTACCACAGGGTGGCAGTATGTAATAGGTTAGGGCATTGCTAGGGATAAGTTGTTCACTATTAATGTCTGAACCAGTAATTATTTGCATGATAGGACAAGGAAGGGCGAAGTGTTTTGCACATATGAAAATAAAATGCCCTGCAGCAGCACACAAACTGTTTTACTCTACAAAGAGTTCAATCTGATGTGAAGTGAACATTTTAGATTATTGTATTTTAGCTGGATGGTTTCTACTTCGGAATAAGCTTTGTGGTTTTGAGCTTCTCAAAATGTGAAATTTCTCAATTTCTTATATTGGCTATCACATGTGATTGTGTCTGCATTTGATTATACATATCTAAATTTAGCCTGCTCAGTCTGTTGTGAAGCTTAGATAAAACATATGTATATACTAAAGTGTAGATTATTCTCACTTCCTTTATAAAATCCAGTACTGTGTATTCTTTGCCATGGCCACATGAAATAATTATTTTCCTCTTAGAGAAATGTGTTATAACTGAATTGTTCAGCTGTACTAATTCTTAGGAAAAGGTAATCTAGTTTTACAACTGTAGCACTATTTTGCAGGTAGTGGGTGTGTTTTCAATAGATGAAAAAAAACCCAAAAGCTCAATGGATGGGGAGGTTGAATCTAACTCAGTGGAGTCTGTAGGATTCTGTAATGTGTAAGTATAAAACATCTTATACATTTGCCGTATGTTGTCTTGTACTTGTTGTTCTTTGCATAAAAACAAAGAACTTGTTGTTCTTTGGTTTTATGCACTACAAAACAGTTGTTTTGTCTTTCAGTCTCATTGTTCTTTTGTTTTCTTGTAACTTGTTTCACAACCAGTTTTTATGTAAAGTTTACTTAAGGGAGTGTATTGCACGTTTTTGTTTATACTTTGCTCGTATGAGTTACAGGACATTAAAATTGCTTGCATTAGTGAATCCTCAATAAACAGGTTACATTTTCAGAATTTACAGAAAGCAAGCTGATCTACACTGGAGACTTAACTTAGCATGTTGAGTCTCAGAATCAAAGGAAAGGAGGGCATGAGAGAGGAAGGCTGCATTGGGCAGACAACCTTTTTACTAGACTCCAGTGCTATCTTGCATGGGTTTGGTCACCATTAAAAGTTGATTTTAGATTTCCAAGTGTAGTTATGGGTTCAGTTCCTGGAGTGCTATCTGTGTGGTGGTGAGTGTGGATTTCTTTCGGAAGCTAAGATTTCCACCCACACTCGCTTCTGTAAAAACTGGACCTGGTGCGTGTGCGTGTGCGTGTGCGTGTGCGTGTGCGTGTGCGTGTGCGTGTGCGTGTGCTACAATGGTGTATAGACTGTCAGGGTGTATCCTGCCTTGTACCCAGTGTTTCCTGGGAAAGGCCCCTGGCTACCGAGATCCTGAATTGAATAAGAACAAGGTTATTGAAAGTGATGTGATGTGAATGTTTTAAGGGGGCTCCACGGTGAAAGATGCTGACACCAGCTTTTCAGAGGTAAATGTGGTAGTAGCACTGTAATCATACAGGAAGTCAGATGGAGCACATTTTTGTAAAGAGCACAGAAGTTTCCGCTTCATGATGACATACATCAGAGAGTGACCCGTCATGCTTCCAAGAATTTCAATTCAATTTCAAGTATCAGCCACGGTCAAGTCCCTAGATCTCTTATTTGTTGGGCATCTTCTTTCTAGAGAGAAATAATAGATAATATTAAAAAAAAACATCTTTTGAAATTTCTTAATAGTGCCTGAAACTCCATAAATTAAGAAGAAAGGTTTTTAAAAATTGTGAGATTCTCCCACAAATTCCTAAATGTCTTGGTATCTTGGTGTAGAAAATGCAAAACAATTATTAAAGCCAAAGGCTGTCTCTATCTGATGAAAGCAATGCTTCACTGCTAGTCTGGAAAAGTTTTTATGTTTTGTTAGTCATGTGTACTAATTGTTGAACCAATAAATTCCTTGTACTGGTCCAGAAAGTAAATATTTCCACTTTATTTCATGGTTTGCGTCTCATGTTTTTAAACTCTTGGTCTGCTTTCAGACTTTGGGCCTTTACTATTTGTTTTAAGAAACCAGATGCTATCTGTTGCAGGTTTGGTCATTTAAGTCCCCAAACACCGTTGAGACTAATTTTCAACAAACCTGTGAAAATGTTTCTTAACATGTTAGCATTTTTTGTTAAAGAAAGCTAAATTGAAAATGAATAAAAAATTATGTGAAGCAGAAACTAAATAATAGGCAAGTGAAACTGAAATGAAATAAGATTAAAAAGCCAATGATCTTTTATTTCTATTATTCCTTTATGGAAATGTAAACAAAGTAACAGAACTTGGCTTGATTTCCAGAATGCTTACTATTGTAATCAGTTTTTTGCACATCCTACTTCTACATTCCATCCCTTTAGAGGTGTTGGCTGCTGAAAAATCGTCTCATGACTGTTTTTCTCGGTACATTTTATTTTTCTTTTAAAACATTTTTGAGAAACTTTGTGGGCCGCTCTGAAACACAGGTTGAAAGTCTTGTGGAATTCTCTTCCATTCCTCTTGTAGAGCCTGGACAAGCATGTTTTTGTCCAAGCAATATGCCAATCTGTACTGTGTTTTGAGCTGTCACAAATGAGTTGAAACATTCTTTGTAATAGGCTAACTTTGTTACAGGTTCCCTTTGGTTGCGGTTGCTTACCTGGATGGGACTTTGGCCATCTATGATCTTCCCACTCAAAGTCTGAGGCACAGATGTCAACATGAGGTAACAAGCACTGGAAAATTTAAAGAAAACAGCTGTATGTCTCATAAACCTGGATGCCTGCAGGTTTTGAAATTTTGTAAAATTTTATATCATTGGTCTTTGAGATGCAGTAAGCTGAACCAAATGAATGCTCATTTGTTTCATTTTGAATTGTTATTCTTTGATACTGTGTTAAAGGGTATTTTGTTCAGTGGCTGTAAAGCTTTACCTGTAGTGCTATTTTCAGTCATAATGGAGCTGTCCTCTCCTGTATCAATAGGCTGGTATTGTCCATCTGCATTGGGAGGAGAGCTCTTCCTTAGTGTCTACCTGCAGTTTGGATGGAGCAGTGAGAATCTGGGATGCTCGATCAGGGAACATGGTCTCTGAGTACCATGGGCACACAGCTGAAATTCTTGATTTTACACTCAGCAGGTGAGTTTTTCTCCCACTCCCTAAAGATGCATTTTTTCAAAGGAACCGATTTTGTTGGTAGTTTGTTTACACATTGTTTTTTAGGTCTTTTCATTTTCAAATAGAATTATTTGTATTTTAATGGACAGTAACAAAGGTGTTAGATCTTCTGAAATCACCTCAACAGAGTCCTGTTTCTGTGGTTTATTTTGGATTAATGTACACTGTTGTTGTTCTTTGTAGAGATGCCTCTTTGGCTGTGACTGCCTCAGGAGATCACAAAGCCAAAGTCTTCTGTCTTCAGAGACCAGACCGGTAAAAACGCAAGGCTGTCCAGATACTGAGGTCCAGCTATTCATACTGCCATACTGACAGCTTTACTATACAACTTTCTTGAGGAGAAGCATCAAGCTACAAAAGAAAATAAAAAAAATATGAAATTGTGCTGAAGCAAGCCACTAGTATCTGAAGTCTTTATTTTCTTGATGACAGTAGAAAAGGTTGTTTTATTTATTCTCTGCTGATATTTGATTAAAACCATCAATTAGTACACATAAACGTTTGAACTCTACTGTGTGTGTAAATTAGGATTTGCCCTTGTATATTGATTTGTTTTGTTTGGGCATAACATTTTCAAGATGGAAGTGGGCTAAAAAGAACAGACTCATAACTTGATGATTTTTAGTTGATACTCCTGGTAGATTTCAGGTTGGGAAGAAGGTCCTTTTTGACATTAAAACTTCTGATGACATTTATAACTGTTTTTGTTTTCATCTGTTGTATTTCTTCCACTAGCCTGTCTGTATGTTCAGCGGCTACTTTATATTATTTAAATCAGTATGTCGTGTGCATTGAAATATTAACTTATGCAATTCATCTAGTGAAAATGTTGAAATTTCTAATATAAGGAAAATTAAGGTTGATTAAAAATCATTGGAAGAGTGATGTTTACTTTCACATTTCCAGTCCTGCATGACATATGTACAACCATTTTTTGTTATGTATCACATAAAGATGTGATTTACAACTTAATATAGTCCTTATCTAGATGGCCAGATTTTATTAAAATGTTATTTTTAAAAGAACAGGTCTGAGCTGATTTAATTTATCTATCCTTTATTCTGGATTTCAAGCTTCCATATGGGCACTTAATGTACTGAAACAGCCACACTTAAGTGTTTTTGCCAAATAGTTTTATTTTCAAATTAGGAGAGTTAAAAGCTTTGAAGAAGAGTGGCAAACTGCATTAAAAAAATATTTTAATTTTAGGCCTGGCTATATTCGATTCTTTGTGCAATTCAACAGAATTTATGTTGTGTCATTATAATTAAATAGGTTAAAGGCAAAATAGACAATCACTGTCAGAGAAACTAAGTGATGTATGATTTATTTCTTAGAACATATATCAAACAACATTTTATTTGCTCTAAACAGTGTATTTCTGTTTAGCATACAATTACAATTAGTGGCTACCAAATTAGAAATCTGTAGTTAATCCCTATTTTGTATATGTTTTTATTTGAGTGCTAAAATTATGTTAATGTTAATTAATGTTTGCCTCTGTATGAAACTCTGAGAGTTAAGTTAAAGTGAGTTCAAATGAAGTAATTGTTGTCTTTAAAGACATGCATAGGGTTTGAAAAAGACAAGCTAATTCTGTCAGCAGCAGATACACGGCTTATAAACAAAACAGTAGAAGCTACTGTAGCAACCACAAGTAATGTGTTAACTACAAATAGTACAGGAACAAGTAAAGGCTGAAAAAAAAAGAGAACATTTCGGCTGTGGAGCCTTCTTCAGGTGTGAGAAAGAGAGGGGAAATCAGTAGGTAAAAAAACATGGGAGAACAAAAGACAGGAGTGGAGAGCAGGCAGGAACATGAGAGACGCAGACACAGGAGAGGTGGATTCTCGGGGTGAGTCGAAAGTTGAGAGAGAGGTGAAGAGAGTAAAACATCAGTGATTTAAAATAAAAGGTAATGAAAAAGAAAGCATGTGAGAATGGCTACAGCAGGTGTGATTGGGAATTCAAACAAAATGTTAAAATTAATCTCTGCTAGTTTCTTTGCAGCCTACAAATTGCTGTGTATTGTCCCACTTGAAAAGAAACGTTGCTAATGTTAGTTAATCTCCTCCACCAAATATGAAAGCATTTGGAAAAGTGCTATTAAATCTTGTGAAGATTTTTTTATTTATTTTATGGTCGTTGTCTTCTGTAACCAGGAAATAAGCCACAGCTAACTGGAAGCATGGGCAGTCAGTGATTTCTTTTCTACTGGTTGTCATAGCTGCATATGTGAAGAGGTCACTCTTTTTACTATTTCCTGTGCTTAGTGCTGCTCTAAGGAGCTGACTGTTTCTAAACCTTGACTAGCAAACATGCGTTGTTACAGTTTGTAGTCCCCTTGGTGTTTTGCAGTACAGGAGTCACACAGGACTAATATGCTAGGCAAAATTTGATTTAAAAAAATAATAATTTTGGAGGATTTGAGATAACCAAATTAAAATATGGTACAGTATATATCTTCTGTTTATTTCAGATCAACAAGAAATCAATGTAGACCACATCAAACCATCAAACCAACTTTTTGCCACATACTGTAGGCTTGTCATGAATCACTAGAAAGTCTTTTAAGGAGACCATTTATGATTTCATCCCAGAGGAAGTGGATATACACCCAGTAAAAATATGAATGTGAGTGCTGTACTGTTTTGGAGGAAGATTTGTGCCCAAATATATTGGTAGCTAACAGCATACTTTGCTGTTGCTACGTTGTAAGAGTAACTCTTAAGTTGGAGCCACTGAGTATATAATAGTATATAATGTGTAGTTTTCCCCAGAATAACTTTTTTTCAAAATATATATCTCTCAAGCCTGTGGGTAGCTAGGAAGTCATTGCTTTACCGAAGGAGAACACTGGCCAACTCACCCCAAACCTATTCCCAGCAGCATACTGCCAACTTAGACACCAGTGACTAGTGACACAATCCAAGTTCAAGCATCAGACATCTGGTCAACCTGGGTGTGCTTTTACTGGTTGAAACATTCAGAATTCACAAGCGCCTTATATACAATACATTGTAAATACAATAAAAAGTCTTAGACCAGGGCTGTGAACAGATGTCTCTTTTCTGTGGTTTTACTCATCAATGCTTTTTGTTGATTTCTATGTCAAAGATAACCCCACATCTCTCCGTATCAGTGAGACCAAGGGCATGCTTGTGTTTCTAGAGAACAGAAAATTAGGAGTTTAGGCTGGTCTGTCTCTACCAAGAGACATGCATGTCTTCCTATCTTATTATGATACTGAACATATTTTAGTATAAATGTTGTGTCTTTGTGGTGTGCTAATGTTCTAGCTCAGATAGACTGCAGATAAACTTTACATTTAGACATACTTGCAAATGATGCATTAATCTGAGCTTCTGGATGGTTTCATGATCTTTGTTAGTCTCATCTTTTAGACCACCAGGCATGACTAGAAAACCAGAGAAAAACGTAATTCACTTAAGTCTGCAAATATTATCCTGCACAGAACAGATATACAGTATGTCCTCCACCTGGTGAGTATAGGGTGTTTGCTTATCATTATGAAACTGTTTTGTGGTTTTAACTTTTCCACAGCTACCAATTAATCAAGTTAATCATGCCATTTACCTTATTTATGTTTATATCCTATTGTATTTATTAAACAAGATAAATGTAATGTAGATACAAAATACTTTCTAAACAGCAAAAGTTTCAGTATAGATAACGGACATCAGGTCCAGTAACTGGTACTTTTCAAAGTGCTTTGTATGCATTGCTTACAAAACAATCTTTGGGCAGTATTTTTTCATGTTTTTGAACAGAATTAAATGATGTATTAATTTTGATCTATAGACGTTACAGTGAGTTCTGAAAGTGTACATATTTATTTTTCCAGACAAGGTTTTGAGTAACAAAAAAACAATAGGAATGTAATTCACCGGATACCTCCTGCTAAACAATAAGATATACTTCCATCTGTTTTCCTTTCTCCCTGAGGAAATGACAAGCAACTATGCACTTTGTAAGTGTTACTTTCCCGAAGACCCTTCAAATACTCCACTGCAAAACTAGAAGAAAGAAAACGTAGTGGACAAATCGATTCTTCTTTAATGCCTACAGTATATTTTATATGAACAACAAACCACCACACAGAAGGATGTGTTTGCCTGAATTAATAACACACATTACTCACATTTTTAGTGTAAAATGGTTGGGTTTAGTAGGTACAGTATGTGTACAAATAGATTAGACTGCAGTACATCTGTCTCCTGGTGTCATATTAAAAAATCATCTGAAACTGAAATTATTTGTTTGTGACGGCAGCTATTGAATAAGAGCATAATCACTCAAGATAATTGTGTTTGTTCTCTTTCTTTGGAGACTTCTGAGCCTGTACTGTGAATGATTATGAAACTTCTGTCATTGGTGAAGATGTTTTATACATTTATCATTTTAACCTGGGGTAGACATTTAGGACACGTTAATGTTAAAAGGATAAAGGAAAGAAGCTTTCTGAGACTTAATAGAAAATTAGAAGAATTAAATTCAGTGCTCATTAAAAATGTTTATTGCTCATACTCCTCTGAACGTGTATGAAAAGCACAACATTATTTGCTTAAATATTTGTTATACATAGTGATGGAAAAAAGAAACGCAACATCCCCCTGCAACATGTCACCTTGCTCTTAAGGCCAGCAGCCTGAAGCCTCTCTGTCCTGTCACTGATGTGGGCGTTGTGTCTGCCGGCAGTTTCAGAGCAGTATGGGTGGCAGATCTGGAACAATCTCTCAGATGGACCAGTCTGATGTGTCGGTCCTGCTCTGGTGTGGTCAGTCGAAGGCGGAAGGATCTTGGATGGTCATCCGTCCTGCTGGTCTGCTGAAACCTTCTCTGCGGTCATTATGGCTTACTCCAAAACGTCTGGCAATGCTGGAACATGACATGCACCAAAAACTGACTAAGTGGCCTTTTTTTTGCATTGACCTAAGCTTTGAATTAAGGCTTTTTTAAAGGTGACCTGATCATGCATTGTTCCATCTGGACCTTGTTGGGTAAAAGTCCACCTAACAAGCTTTCATGTGATTGCCAGGTTGCAATGCCTCACTACACAAGCTGTATTGCTGGTCAGAGGGCTTAAAACAAATTGACAAGTTTTTGTCAAAAGCAATAACTATAGCATTCTTATTCCAGAAAATGCTGTGTTTCTTTTTTCCATCAGTATATATATATATGTGTGTGTGTGACTACATTATTTTAACTGTTTAATTTTAATTTCTTTTTATTTTTAAATTTAGTCCAGTTAAAATCCTGACTTTTGGATAAACTGATATTGAACCTACTGGAGTAATAGTCGAGGAGAAAATCAAATTGATGGAGCTGGTTTATTTTGCTCTCAAAATTGAGAAGTCTGTCAATGACATAGAAATTAGGGTGCTTTGATTTATACATTTGTTATAAAAAACTTCTGGGACCAGAACCTTTTTTTTTTTGTATCTGCTACAAGCATCTGAAAATTGGAACAAGTCTATATGCTTATGAAAAGCAAAAGCGGCTGGCTGTTAGACATTTACTGTAGATGTAAATATTACTTGAGATAAAGTAATTTATCTAAAGTAAAAGTAATAAGACTGCTAAACAGCCAACCTGCAGCTCCTTTAGCAAATCACCCGTAATAGCTACATGGACACACAGTTTTCACTGTATTCAGCATAACTGCACTACTTGTATATATTGCATACACCATGGACACATAGCAGCTCTATTCATATCGGTTTTATTCAATTTCTATTACATTATCTACTATTATGTAACTTTATTTTCGTAACCTTAATTTTGTGATTTTTGTGAGCTCGCAGAAAAGACATTTCATTGCAGGCAACTACTGCTGCATGCTGTATTGTTGTGCATTTGATAAATAAACTTTGATTTGATTTGATTTGATCTGTGCACAACTGTCATTGATAGTGCAAATCTTACATAAATATCCCTGGTTTGAAAATCTCTTTTGGGTTGTCTGTAGACATTATTATTCAGAATTACACAGTATTAGACAGTATTATTATTAAAGTAATAGTAATATGAGAATAAGTACAGTCCTATATCATTCTGAGCAGATGCTTTCTAAAGCTTTGGTTATATAGCTTAATTTTTAAGAGAATGGATTTATAGGAATGGCATACTGAGTAGTCCTATATCATGTGCTATATTTAGGTAATACAAATTTACCATGGAACAATTCCTCAGGCTACATTCACTACAATTACCTCATAGTGTCTGATGTGTCTGATGTGTGTTGTAAAAGCAAGACAAATTATGAAAGCCTTTGTTCTGTACTAAAATGAATGATGACCAGAGACATATAAAGGTCCATCATAAAATGCATCAAAGAAGAATGAACATTAAAACACAAAGGCCGCACATGCAAAGAGGCCATAAAGCCCATCAACATCATCTGGTTAATTTTCTCAAAAATCCTATTGCCAGTCCTGATTATACTGGGTACCCCTCCCCCAATTATTAAAGAACCTCACTCCAAAAAGAGACAATTTAGATTAATCATTCACAGCCACTGAAACTGTGAGGTAGTAGTACTAACCACTTTGCCACTGTGCCATCTTATATAAACTAAATGGGAAACACAGCATTTTTTACAGCAACTGCAATCCGCCAAAAAGAAACCTAATGGCACAGTAGGTTAAGCATGGAGAATGTTCAGTAGTTGATTTTATTTTCTGTAGTGAACCTGTGCATTGGAGAGCGATTTTAATGCTGATATTTTTCAATGCCTTTTAAGGAAACCAGTGTCATATAACTGGCTGGAACCTTTCTTATCATATTATGCTTAGAATATTATATTTATAATGGTTCTTTAGCAGTTCTTTGTTGAAGTTACAGCAGCACCTATGTTCCATCTATTTTCTAACTGGTTTATTCAATTCAGGTTTGCAGTGGAGCCAAAGCCTAATCCAGCAAGCAACATGAGCAAGGTGGGGTACATCCTGGACAGATACTAATCTAATGACACACACAGCCACAGACATGCACAAACTTTTCTTAGAAGCCAATTCACCCACTGGTATATCTTTGAATTGGGGAAGAAAATCCCTGCAAGCACTGATCAAATATGAAAACTCCACGCAGACAGCACCCCAGGTCCAGAACTGAACTTAGGTCCCCTGTGCTGCAAGGCAGAATTGTTAACCACTCCGCCACTGTGCTGCTCAGTATATATGTTCTTTCTTTTTAATGAGATACCTTTTAGTATTCACAGGACGTTATTCCTTTTTCAGATGTCAATACGTTACTGAAGCAGAATATTTAAATTGCATTTGCAATCAAATCTTCAAAATACCAGGTTAATGGCAGCAATAAGCTCATACATTTGTTTTTATTTATTTAATTATTTTTAACTGGATTAATTTTACTTTTTTCTTTGAAGTTTAATATGCCACAGACAAATCTCACAATTTCTGATGGTCAGGGTGGAAACAAATGTGTCTAAGTATATATGGATTTTAAAATTCAGTGTGAAACTAACCCTCAAAATACTTAAGAGTTCAAAAATAAAACATCATGCTTGTGAATTTTTGTCATGTCTGATTGGTCATACATCAATCTTTCTCATGGATCACACCAATGGCTAATCTAGTGTATGCATCTGTTTCATACTTGGTTAAGGAAGGAAAGACTGTCTCTTTAAAATTTACGAGCATCTCTGCCTTGTTGAAACCCATGGTATCTGACTCCTCTCCGCTTTGCACACAATCTCACGCTCTGAGGGGAGAGGAGCACAGACTTCCTCAGTGTCATTGACAGGCCAAGTTCTTCAATCTTCTTTCTCTTTCTATGACGAGAAACCAGAAACAGAGAGGCTATTCTGAGACATACATGGAGGACATAAATCAGCAAACACAATTTTGCAACTGTTTGGATGTGGTCAAATAACAGAAAATTCTAAAATCTTTACCACTTTGGGAGAAAGGTAGGTACTGTTGTTAAAAAGAGCTTGCAAATATGGAGACTGAACCATTAACGTAGACATTTTTAGAATAATAATGAAATCAACTGAAAAAATATCTTTGATGCTATAAACTGTGTGATAAAAGAGCTGAGACCCTTTACCAAAATTAGTACTATGAGCATCACTTCAATTATATCTGTTCATTATAATGTTTTTTGGACAAACTTAAACTTTAAGACTGAAAATGAACATCATTTTTAAAGGGAAGTAGTGGTATCTAAAAAGTGAATTTGAAACTATGATATATGTCTAATGAATGTGGAGTAATGAATGTGGAGAAATGTGTGATCATTGTAAGGATAGAAAATAAGTAAATATAACACCAAGGGCCTTGTTTCAATATGTACTAATCAGATACTTTTCTGAATACATGAAGAAAGGTTTAAACAGGTTTTAAACAGCAACTTGACTTTGCTTTGAAAGCATATAACCTGTTGATTTGGCAACTTTTCATTTTTCAGAACAAAGTTTTAAATATGTTTTTTTAAGTAACATACAGGCTTTCATTTGAAGTATTTTTCTGAATGTGTAGTGTACACAAAAAATGTTTAGATGTTTGTTTTTAAAAAAGATTCTGTCGTAAACTGTTGTAATGTGCAGTTTATGTTTTTGGTGTCTAAAACCCTGTTGGTTAACATACATACAGACTTTACCTTGTAATCTGATATTCTTCTAATCAAAATAAGACATCTTTAATTTAATGGAAAATGTGATTACGTGGGTGGCACAGTGGTTAGCATTGCTTCCTTGCAGTGCTGGTGCCCTGTGTTCAGTTCTTGGGGTGTGATCTGCATGGAATGTGCACAATATGTTCTCCCTGGGTTCACATGGGTTTCCTCCAGGTGCTCCAGTTTCCAGGCCAAAGGCATACTGGTACCTTAATTAACTTCTGTAAGAATTTGCCCTGCTTGTATTTGCTTGTGCCCTGTGGTGGACTGTTGTCTGATCCAGGATCTGTCCTGCCTTGTGTCCCATGCTGCCAGCTGAGGGTGTGGCTGACTCGTGACCCTTATTAGATAAAGTGATTAGAAAAAAGGTGATGAAGATGTACTATTGATGTACTACATTACAAAACAATGTATCCATTGATAGTTGATGTCATTCTCATCATAACTTGAGAATATATTTAGTGTATTTATATGTAATTTATAGTTACAGCATTTTCCAAAATATGTGATGAGTTTTTGCACCTTGTTTACACTCTGTACTGATTTCAGGGAAGTTGCATAGAGAGAATTTTTTAGGGGCACTTTTCCAATGCATTCTGCCAGTCCTGTGCTGTCACATAACAAGCAGACCATTTCTTCGATTTCATTATCAGTATGTCACTTTACTGACAAGCTTGTAAGCCATGAATTCACAGTTGTTACCTGATTTGATACAGGCTCATCACTCAGTTATTTCACAGACCACCAACTGCACTCCTTTATCATGTGCCTGTCGCATAATATAAACAGAGCAGACCTGACATTCGACAGCACAGTAAAGAAGCTACAATTTCAATCAATTCAGTATGATATCATACTCTTGAAGTAGATATGATGAGATCTGGAGAAACAGTAAAATGAAATGGTTCTTTTAATGTGAAACCATCGGATGTAAATATTTATAAATAAGATGAAAGCTAAAGTAAAGCACTGGAAAGGCACTGTCTCATACAGAATCAGAAATGAGACTATATAAGGATCTGGATGATTATTACTATTGTGTTGATTAAATGTAGTCACTTATTTCAAAATAAAAATTAATAAAAAGCCTCCTAGTGACAATGGTATGTGTCAAATCTGGAACTACAGTTGGAGGAGATCTACATTACCCATTGGTTAATATACTGGACCCACATTTCAGGTTCACAAGTGTACTGTGGGTGGATTCTTATATACGTCTGTAGTGACTAGCTTTAGCCTACTCATTCTGAATCACGTCTGCAGCAGTAAATTGAACAGCAGAATTAATGGAACCCACTCTGGGAAAACAATGCCATCATCTCTAGAAATCCTTGGAGAAGGAAGATTAGAGACACCCTCTTTCTGCTGGATTAGGTCCAGCCACTTCCAAGGAAGTACTGATCATTCCTGGAAACTGCAGGATAATCCAGGAGATTTGGTAATCCCATCAATACAGGTCTCATTCACCTCTGTAATTTTCTGTCATTAATCAGAAATACGGAGAGTGAAATATTTGATCTATGTAGCACTTTACAGCTTTTACATGCATTCATAACGTATCCCTGCCTTACATTACTGAACACCATCATACTTCTTTTCATGAAATAGCTAGTGATATTCTCGTAATATTCAAATAATTCTCATATCATTCTATTCACTGTAAATATAGCTTCTGTTCAATGTAGCTATGCAGCGTAATCTGAACATTTCTTGCTACATTTCCTAATATAATTGATGCTCTTGAGTGCTAGGCATCCTCATTAAATGCCCCAGAGCCAAACAAACAGAAACAGAAAAAAATGATGAAATATTCATTCAAATGAAAATCAAATTACAGCATCAATGTACAGTAAAAAAAATTTCTAGCCTAGAAATCATCAATGATTACACAAAACACTTTTTTCGCAATGGGGGGGTTACAAAATAGTTAGAAAAAAGATATCCTTAATAAAATAATGCATTCTGTATTGCGTTGTTGATGATTCCTCCTCCCATTATGATCCAACTACTGTAAATGCATAAATTACATAAAAAACATTAAAAAATGACTCAATAGTTTAAAGAGGAGCTCCACTTCACCCAAATTTAAATTAAGTAATGTCAACACATGCGTAGGTTGCACAATTTTTATAGTGTTTTATCTTGAGATATTTCATAATTAGCTTCCACATTCAATTTATCAGCGATTCTTTGCCATGCCATGTCTCTGACCTTTGCAGCAGCTACAGTATAGCTTCTCATTACTACAACCCATTTTATCCTCATAGTTTTCCTTAAAGAGTCATAATTCATGATCACTGGATTTAGACACACATATTTTTGCTGAGGTTTTGCTGGCGCAGATGAAGGATTCACTGCTTGACCCTCCATGTGTACTGAAATGCTATGTGAATGCACAGAGTGTCAGATTGTTCATATCTGAATTGCTTTAACCAGATGACCTAAACCTGAGTTTGCTTTCGTGAAACAGAATTAACCTCAACTCACGTATTTGGTTAATTCTATCCAGATAACTTGAGATAATCCAGAATTACTTAAAACCTACTTTATAAAACAGCCCCCTGGCCTCACTTTGTGTTAGTTTCATGGAGTTTTAAAGGAGCCCTACCAGTCTGACATGGATTGTTGTGTGAGATTGAACCGTCAGCCTGAGGAATATGCTAAGTTCACAGTAAATTGCAAATTCAAGTGCAGCGTAGTTATTACTAGGAAGAAACTATTTTTTGGAAATACACTCTGCACACTCTGTTTATTCATCCAAATCCTTATGAAATCCAAAACTAAACTGAACCAACTAAACATTGCTTTGTAACAATATTTTACAGAAAAACTTATAACACACCCCTTCTGGGTATAAGGAAACATTGCAAAATGTTTGCCCTTTAGATCATGGGTCTTGTCAGTTTGCAAAATTGCTGTTTCTGTTTTAGATAGATCATTGTCAGTTCTACAGCAGACCCTCCCACTACCTCTTGACTGCAAAGGAAGGTAGTACAGAGTTCAGTGCACAAACCTTCTCAGCTGGCAACAGTGAGAATAAAAGCTGACTCACTTAATACACCTACTGTAGAACATAAATTAGTTATATATGTAAGAAATTTCTGTGGCCTTAATTTAATTTAATTTTGGATTTAGAAGGATGTAGTGCCTAAAGTGCACTTGTAAATATTTTGGGTATGCAATTAAATCAACATAATTGGAGGGAAAAAACTGTCCATTTTGTATACATGTAATTAACCAAATTCTGAATTTAATAGAAAACTTCTGGTACTTTCAATACACCACTGGAGGAAAAACACTATTGAGTTACATGTAAGACAGTTTATGACTGGTATTTAATTTGTAATTCAGCTCTGAAACTACAATTGGTGATATAGATAACTAGATACCAGAAATGTCAGTGGTGACAATGTTCTAAATTTGTAACTGCAGTGGGGACAAAAAAAATAAAACAGCACCAATGATGTAAAAACTGATGCCTCTTTATTACAAAACGGAACTCAGTCATAAGGGAAAGATGATATGTACAGTAATTACAGTACGTATAACAGTAAGTGTAATTGGTTCATGTTATTTTTTCAAATCCCTTTTATTTCAATATTAATGAACATTTTGATGTGCACTTTTTATCTTTATTTAAGAAACAATTAACTTTTTAAATATGTTTTCCAGGGATGTCTTTTCTTAAGAATGGCATTGAACATTTTCAATACTGATATTTGTTCTGAGTCCAACTACTAAAATTACACTTTTACAGAGTAAATAAATCTTATTCTATTGTAAACTGCCTTTGAACTAGAGAACTACGTGTCATTCTGAAGGCTTCCATTGAAAATGAGCAAACCTTGAGTCAACTAAGAGGAAACCATAGACACCAGACCTGTGTCAAATGTGTATCGAAGGTATTTTCAAACACTTTCTTAAATATTTTTTATAAATATATTTGAAAGACACTTCTGGTATTTTCAGATACAGAGTAGTACTAAAAGGTTGTTTGAAGTTTTTGATTCCATACAGTATATGTATCTTGAAACTATCGTATTTTTTCTCCATGGGGATTAAAAACCAACACAACTTATTTTTGTATTTATTTTATCTTTATGAACGCATGTGATTAATCTGAAGACTATTTTTGCATGTGCAATTTTAAACATTAGGGTTTAATAGAGACAGAGAGAGAGCAGCAATAGGGCCTAATCAGTGGCAGGGGATACAGGCATGTGGAGATACTCAGCTTCTAGTCTGCTCAGTGTTGCATTGAAGTGGTAGCTCTGGCTATTTTTTCAGTATTTCTATGGACAGCATTCCTTTCTGAGAGCTTTGAAGAACTTGAGGGATCCTTTAAAGTAGATAACATGCCTAATGGTTCTAAGCTGGAGGTTATGTGGGTGATACTTTCTATGTTTTCTTGGTGAACGTTAAGGCCAACTCTTTAAGCTCAGCTGCAGCAGTGATCTTCTCAATGTTGTTATACTGAGCTCTGCCAATCTGAAGTTTGGATCCGAGTCCGAGGCCATTTTATACAGTTATCTTCCCTCATAGACGGAGAGACACTTCTTGATCATCGCCTTCAAGCTGATGATGATCTTGTCATTGTGTTAGTTACTACAAGTAAGATGGTTGCAAATTTTGTAATGCATGGGATGAAGTGGCTGTCTGTAATAATACAGGTGTTGTGGATGGATAGTTAGTGGCCGACATCTTGTTTAGCTTTGTGTCATCAGCCCGGAGAACTTACTGAATCATTTTCTGCTGGAAGTTCCGTATGAGACAGTAGTACAATGCAACTGACCCCATCCAAGATACACTGTGCAAAAGAGAACCTGCACAGTGGCAGTGAGAGAAAGTGCCAGAAGATTTCAATACAGGTCTATTGAGGTAGCTAACATATTTAAGGCCATCTTTGCTGCTCAGCTGCAATGTAATCATACCTACCTGTCTGAAAACATATTTGCTGTTTTAGAATTTACACATACTGTAGTCGTGATATAAAGGCACAGAATACTCTATATTTATGGCAAGAATTTTTAGTATCCATTTAGGTACATCAGCACACTCTGTTTATTCACCTAAATTAAAATTAATATTTAATTTATGGTGGTACCTTGAAATCATTTTCATTTTCCATTGTGGCTTGGAAGTGCATTATAATAAATCTGAATATATTTTCACAAAGTAAGTAGTAAAACAATTTCCTCTTACTACAGTTCTACTGCAGGTCCTCAGTCCCTATTGTTGTTATTGCAGCCGTCATGTTTGTGTTGTGTGAGATGCTTTCATGACGATTTCATGATGATTAATCATTTTCAAATTAAACAAGAATCTAAGTACAAAGTTCATTATTTCCTTTCATTCTTGTCTTTCATACCATTCTTCTTCAGACAAAGATTTATAAGCAATATAGATAAAGATGTTAGAAATTCATATTGCTGACTTTTCAGAATCCTAAACTAGCACTTTTCTGGAATACTTAGAACTGTCAACTACGGAGGTTTGTTTGCAAAACGATATTTTGACAACGTGATTTATGTAAATCTTTTTTTCTTTTCCACAGCAATGCTTCCTTTCAACCTTGGGTTCTTGAAGATTCATGAGCCTAGAAGGCGAGACAGAGAAGAGTGTCTGGCTTTCAGATTGAAGATGCTGAGTTGAAAGGCCAAACATGGGACACAATGATACAACTAGCTGGGAACTTTCTCTTATCCTCAGCATCACCAACCCTCTCTCCACAGTCATCATCCTAGCCAATCTCCTCATCATCATTGGTATCATCTGTAACAGAAAACTGCATAACACTCCCAATTATTTTTTTCTAAGCTTACTGGTCGCTGATGTGTGCACTGGCATCGCTTTGCCGTTCATCCCCAGCATGAGCCTGGAGAGGCAAATGGATTTCCACACCTGTCTTCTGCTACATACCTTCCCCAACTTTCTATTTTTGTCTTTTCTCTTCAACCTGGTGATGGTGCATTATGAACGTTACCTCTGCATAGTCAACCCACTGCAATACGGCAGCTTCTGGGCCCACCGTTTCTTTCTCTTGGCTCTGCTGGCTGTCTGGGTTCCACCGTTGCTGTATGCCTCCTTGCCTGCTTTTGGGTGGAACAACAGGGCCGCCTTAAACAGCAGCCAGGAGATAGAAGATTGCTCCTACAGAAATATTTTTCCTCATGAATTCATCTACCTGGAAGTGTATGGACTCTTGATCCCTGCAATATTCTCAATTATCTTCATGACTGTGAGAGTACTATGGATTGCCAGGGAGAAAATGAGAGACATCTGCAAGCTGCACAGAGCTGTTGATCGTGACCAGGCTTCAGATAAAGAACACAGGATGAATGTGCGCTATGCTAAGTGTGTAGCAGCTGTGTCTCTGACATTTCTGATCTGCTGGGTTCCCTACATCATTTATGTGCATGTTTCTCTTTTTTCCCTTTCACAAGGCCAAGTTAAGGTTGCAGACTCCACGACGCACATTATTCTGTCATGCACTGGCATAGGGAGCACAGCTATCATACCTGTCATTCTGGGACTGGGAAATCGGCAGTATACTGAACCAATCAGAAAAGTCTTTGAAAGGCTTAGGGACAGATGGCAAAAGAGATAAGTCAGTAAGGATTCTTCCCTTTAGCCCTGAGTTTACCACATCTCCTACATGTGTACAACACTACATTTCAAATATCTGGAGTAATTGGAGTCATGGCAAACGCAGAAATTTCATTCATTTATAGCCTGTATCTACAACCTGAGCAAGTACTTTATAATGCAGAACCCCAATGACTTGTACAAGTGAATAGTATGATGGTACTGTATGGCATCAATTTGTACAGGAAACACCCTCCTTCTATTCATTCTGCACATTTATATGAAATTAAAACATATCATATCAAACATATGAAAGGACAAACATATCAGAATTGTTAGTTTACTTTCTAGCAACACAAACTAATTCTTCCATTGTCCTTTCAATATGAATTTACACAATTTACACAACTACTGTATGATGACAGGTTAATATAAAACTGTCATGACTTCGAGGCGACCGTAACCTTTGCTACAAAGAATGGAATGAAAATGGAGTGGTTGTGTTCAGAACCAAATTGCACTTAACACCTCTCCAGCAGTGTTTGTCTTTGAAAATCTTGTGTCACTAGCTTGTCGTTCTCCCAAGGGAAAAACAGAAATGACAGTGTGATCGAGGAGTTTTGATATGTTAATTAACAAAATACCTGTGTTTGGTTTGATGTAATTGATCTTTTAAAAATATTATTTGTATTTGTAAATGAGGTATTATATTTAAAGCATGTCACAGAGATTGAAATGCTGAATATTGTGAGACTGAAGTGAAATAATGGTAATGGAGTTTTTGTTAGAAGTATTTATAAGGACAATTTTAATACAGAAGAGGATGTATTGTTTTAAAGGGTTATGTGAGTCTTGAACAAGCTATCTAAACATGTTGTCAAAGCTTATACCCTGGCTTCTATCACAAAACTGGATGAGATCCTTGTTTCACTCATCTATTTGCCAGGAAGTGAGCTAGGAGGGCTAAACGATGTGCTCTTCTTTATAATCTCAAGCAAATCAAGTTCAATGTTTAAGGAACAATAAAATAAATTTGAAGGACCTATGTTAGAGTCTAATAAAAAAAACCTAACAAAATTGGTGTCTATAAATATATAGTATTGTATAGTATAGTATTTCTAGGATTGGTGTTTATAATTGCATCCCCAAAGGTTTTAAGAACGTTGACCTGCTTTTTGATGATGTTTCATTTATTCAATAATATATGCTTAGACAATTGGTTATTGAATGTGTACAAGTTACTATAATGTATTATGCATGCCTGTGATTTTAAATTAATGGAGTGTATGACAACTGAGCCAAAAAAAATGAAGAAAAATAATTTAATTTAATAAGTTAATGAAAGATCTGTAGGCTTCGTTTTATGATAAAAATCAATTTGGTGTTTATTTATCAGGTGTCATTAAAGTGAATGTTGGCAGCTCCTGAGACATACAATTTTCAGATAGCTACTATAAATTATAGAGTTTTTTATAATGATGTCATATTTTATGATCTTTATTAAACTTCAGTCCTTAATAAAGTCATTTTGAAAGCGTATTATCAATTCACCTTTAAGTAGAAGTATTACTTTTCACAATTTCACACAAAAAACTTGAGACAATTAATGAATATAAGTATTTTGTATCCCTAGGACAATTAAAGACAACTTTTCCATCCTAAAGGATGATCCCTCCATTGGGGCCCGCTTTTCTGACCACCCCATCATCTCATATCGCCGACCACCTAATCTGCGTAACCTTCTTGTTCACAACTCCCATGACCGCCCTTCACCTATCCTGACTTCACACTTCCTGATTGGCCACTCTGTCTGTCCCTTGTTCCTGCCTCTCGCTCCTCCTCTCTCCCAGCTTTTGTTCTCCTATGCTACATTACCTTTGCTTCCTGCCTTGTCTTTCTCATACCTGAAGAAGGCCAAAATCTTGTGTTTTCTTTCTTCTCTTTTCAGCATGGAATAAACCTATTACTTGTGTAGCGTCGAGGCTAATTAATAAGAAAGAATTAAGTGTTTCTAAGCTTTCCCAAATTAGGCCTCATCTCTCTGTTCATCTCTGTGGTGCAGCCA